TGGCGCCTGGGGGCGGGACCGCAGCCGCTTCCGGGAAGGGACACTGCCCCGCCCCCCGCCGGAAGAACGTCATTCTCCCGAGCGGAAGTAAGCGCCGCAGAGTGCGCGCGTGCTCACCTCGCCATGGCGGCGGCTAAGAAGCTTTTGGAGTTTCATGCCAGCCGGCCCTGGGGCCCCGAGGAGGCGGCGGACGATCCGGACGAGGACGATGAGGAAGACGACGAGGAAGCCGAGGGTGGGTTCTCCCTGGAAGAAGTGCTACGGCTTGGAGGCACCAAGGTAAGGCTTCCCGGGCTGTCGGGGAAGGGGGTTGGAGACGGAGAGGACCAGGACGCCAGGACCCAAATTCCAGCCTGGGACCTTGCGGTGTGCGCTTCCCGCCACCCTGTTTTCCAGAGCTCTTAGCCGAAAAGTCGTTTCAGTTTGACTTTTTTTTTTAGGGTGTAGGCGTTACTCATTCTCTTGACGGTGGTGTAGCATCACTCCAGCACATCCTCGCCCTGATCACGTGAGATCAGTATTTGAGATCGATATTTTGAATTGGTGTTGGAATTAAGTTTTGTTCCATGCTCACTCTACGCTTGAGAAAATCGTATGTTGCCTTGGAGTTCACAGTTTCATCAAAGAGAAACAGAAAACAGGCTACTGAAGCTTTGGTGGTATAATGGGCCAGGCACTGAGCCCAGCGGCCCCGCGGGAGAAACATCGGACTGCCTACTCCTGTAAAGGTGGACAATCCCCGAATCCCAGAGGGGACGTTCTCCCTGCCCCATAGCGCCTCTGAGTTGGGATCCACTCCAAAGCAGTTGGGTTTGGTGTTTGCTTTGAGCGCAGAGAAGAGGGTTGGGGGGAGTGTGCCTGATTTATGCCATAAACAGCGAACTTGTCGTTGTGATTGCGACACAGGAAGGAAGGTAAGGGGAGGGTAGTGAGAACTGAGGTCAGAGAAATACGAAAGCAAACTTTTGCTCTCAGGTGAGAAGCCATTGGAAGATTTTGAGCAAGTACACGGTAGGAATTGCCGTATGTTTAAAGATACTATTTTACCTTGAGACTGGATTAAATACAACCTGTCTGGACGGAATCAGTTGTGCTTTGTATTGGGGCGCCATATACACCAGACACAAACTTTAAAAGGGGGTGGAGAGTTCTTGGTGAAAGACTGCTTTCCCAGCCTCCCTCCAGCTATCCAGTTTTCCTTCCAGGAAGTAGTAACTTACAAGTGTCTTATATATCTTCTGAGGATATTCTCCGCAATGGCAAGCAAGTTACACGTGCATGTGTATACACACACACATGTATGAAGGGGTTCCAAAAGTTCATGGGGAATGGAATTAAACTGTACTGGAACTTTTCCATAAACTTTTTGAGATGCCTCCTCAGATACATGCTAATACAAAGGTTATATATGTTACTAGTTATCCAAATTGTACCATATTACGCATAAGCTATTTTGTATCTTTGTTGTTGATACTGTCTAGGTATCAGTTTGTGGCTGCATAAACCATTGTGTTTGTCTTAGTTTATAACGCCAGTCCCTTATTCTGGATCAATAAGTTGGTGCCGGGCTTGCTATTAAAAATCATGCTGTGGGGGAAAACATGAGAAGCTGATAGCAAGCGCTCAAGTAGAAAGCAAATGTTTTGAAAATGATGATGGCAACAAATGGGCTTGACACAGTGGATAGATGGATGGACTGTGATAAGAGTTGTACGAGCCCCCAATAAAATGATTTTTTTAAATCGTGCCACAATAAATAACCTGAAACATATGTTTTCTACCATTTGTTAAGTCTGTCTTTAAGACCACTTTGCATAAGTAGAATTGTTGGATCACAGGATATGTGCCTTGTGGTTTCAACTGCAGTTGGCACATTACTGTCCCGAGGGGTGGTGTTGCTTTACACTCCCACCAGGAGTGTGCTGCCCCCCATCCTCATCCAGGACCAGGGGTCATCTTTTTATTTTTATAAATTTGGTACATTAAAAAGCACATGTGTCATTGTTTAAATGTTGATTTTCGAAGTATAGTAAGGCTGAACATCTTGTATTGTAAAAGAATCTTTTTTTTTCCTATAGAGAGTTCATACCCTCTGTACAATTTTCTGCTCAGGTATTGGTATTCCTTCATTGGTATATAGGAACTTTCTTTTGAAGTTATATGAAGCCCAATTACGGTAATGCAAATTGAAATTGGTATCTATGTTTTATGTGAGGGAAACGATAGATTTACCCATCCTTTACTTTGGGGCTGTTGAGCTTTATGCAAAGTTTGAAAATATTTTTCCTACACAGAAATAAATTCATTCTGTTTTATTATATTGTGGCATTACGCTTCACATTAAGCCTCTGATCCGTCAGGCATTTATTCTGGTGTAAGCTGGGAGCCCAAGCAATACCTTGGTGACTCACTTTAATTGATTGCAAAGATTTAAGATTCAAATTAATTTCTGAGGTTTTAACTAACCTGGTAGATGTATAATATATTAACTTCTTTGTGTTGTTTTTTTTTTACTTCTTTGTGTTTTTTATGCAGCAAGATTACTTGATGCTGGCTGCTTTGGATGAGAATGAGGAATTGGTGGATGGAGGCAAAAGGGGGGCAATTGATGATCTTCAGCAAGGTGAACTAGAAACATTCATTCAGAATCTCAGTTTGGCCAAGTATGCAAAAACATGCTTGGCTGAAGATGATGATGAACCAGCTGAGAAAGAAAGGTCCGGCAAAAAAGAAGCAGGAGTTTCTCAAGTAGGTGATAAAAAGGAAAATGCCGTAGGACGTACACTCCAAATGAAGAAGAAACCTGAACAGCTTCCCTCGGGGATCACCAGCCCCATGCCACCAGGAAAGAAAGATAAGCAGCAGGACGTCTTTGAGTTTTTTGAGAGACAGACGTTGTTGCTCAAACCCGGAGGCAAGTGGTATGACCTGGAGTGCAGCGGTGAATATTCGCTGGAACCCCAGCCTCGGGATGCTGTGTCTAAGTACAAAACACTGGCTCAGAAGTTGTATGAGCATGAAATCCACTTATTCAAAACTAAGACAAATAATCAAAAGGGAGGCTCCTCTACATGGATGAAGGCAATAGTGTCATCGGGGACGCTCGGTGACAGGATGGCTGCCATGATCCTTCTTATTCAGGATGACGCCGTTCACACGCTCCAGTTTGTGGAAACCCTCCTGAACCTTGTTAAAAAGAAGGGCAGCAAACAGCATTGCCTCATGGCTTTGGATACTTTCAAGGAATTACTCATTACACATCTTTTGCCAGACAGTCGAAAGCTACGGATTTTCAGCCAGCATCCTTTTGGCAAACTCGAAGAGTTGTCCAGTGGCAACAAGGACTCGAGGGATAGACGGTTGATACTGTGGTATTTTGAGCACCAGCTGAAACACTTGGTGGCTGAATTTGTGCACACCTTGGAGACGTTAAGCCACGATTCACTGGTAGCCACGAAAACCCGGGCTCTCACAGTGGCTCATGAGCTTCTGTGCAACAAACCAGAGGAAGAAAAGGCTCTTCTCGTGCAAGTGGTAAACAAGCTGGGAGACCCTCAGAACCGAATAGCCACGAAAGCCTCCCATCTGTTAGAGACACTGCTCTCCAAACACCCCAATATGAAAGGGGTTGTGTGTGGTGAAGTAGAAAGGCTACTCTTTCGTTCAAATATCAGCCCGAAAGCCCAATATTATGCAATTTGCTTTTTAAATCAAATGACCCTCTCCCATGATGAAAGTGGATTGGCTAACAAGCTAATTACGCTCTATTTTTGTTTCTTTCGGACTTGTATCAAGAAAAAGGATATTGAGTCCAAAATGCTCAGTGCACTTTTAACAGGAGTGAATAGGGCATACCCTTACTCCCAGACTGGTGACGAGAAAGTACGGGAGCAGCTGGATACACTGTTTAAAGTGCTGCATCTAGTGAATTTCAATACCAGCGTGCAAGCTTTAATGTTGCTGTTCCAAGTAATGAATTCTCAGCAGACGATATCGGACCGCTACTACGCAGCCTTATACAGGTGAGTACTTGGTGAGTTCCTGCAGTTGAATGTGAGGGACAACCTGACCTAGGGCACTCGAGGTGCTGCACACTGTTAACATCCTTGGCGCTAACTGAAAAGTTAGAGGTTGCAGTCCCTGTAAAGGTGCCTTGGAAGAAAGGCCTGGCAATCTACTCTCCCAAAAAGCTTTCCTCAAGAACCCCATGGAGCACAGCTCTATTCCGACCCACGTGGGGTCACCGTGGACTGAAGTCGCTGTGACGGCAGCCGGTTAGTAAAACACGGGCAGTATATAAGACGAGAGCTTGAAAACTAGCCCCTTGTACCAGCAGTTTACTACTCATCACCTCTGAGTGTGTTAGATCCTTTGAAGATAAGGTGGTGGTGTTTGGGGACTGGGTTTTGTTTTTTCTTAAGTTGTTAGCATACAGAAAAATAGAAAATAAGTATCCGTATCTTACCACCAAAAATGTCAAAATAAACATTTTGCTATATGGGTTTTTGAATCGTTTGTGATATTAAAGAAATGAAACTGCAGGTGTAGTGAAATTGTCCTGTGTCTCCTCCCTCCTGTCCTTCACACAACCAGTCAGTCATTCATTCAGCAGGTACGTTTTCAGTGCAGATGGTGCCCTGGGCCCTGCTCAAGTGCTCAGTGTATAAAATGGTGAACAAAATTCCTCTCACAGAAGTGCTTACATTCTCATTGGAGAAGACAAATGATAACAAGAAAGTACTTTAGATAGGAAGTATCGGGGTTGCAAGTTGACATTTATTTTTTAGCATTGAAATTAAGGTTTTGTTTACAGAGCTTTACTGAACAGTTTGGAACCTAACAAGCTATGTTCTAGAATTTAAGTTATTTCTCCTTAATCCACTTTAATTTTAATTTTATGCGCATGTCTTGTGAGAAGCTGTAATGTAGAGGTTAATATATTGGCTTTAAGCCACACGTCTGGATTTGTGTCCCCACCATTAGTTTGTTGTACAAATGACTTTATCTTCATTAAAACCATTTAGTTGATATTGTGATTAATCTTGCTTCATCCTGCTTCCTTTGCCTGCAAAGTAGAGAGCAAAGCCCCCTGTCAGGAAGACTATGGCGCGTTCTCAGTTACGTGGCTCGTAAGGACAGAGTGGGGACTTGAATAAAGATTCATGGCTGAATGTACATACTAATTCATAGAAACGTTTTAAGTGTGTTAAGTGCTAAACTCAAAATCAAACTTACTGCCGTTGAGTCAATGCCAACTCATAGTGACTATAGGACAGGGTAGAACTGCCCCTGTGCAGAGACTCTTTACAGGGATTAGAAAGCCTAGCTGAAGCTCAGGGCTAAACAGTGCCTAAAAAACCCAAACTCACTTCCGTCCACTCAGTGTTGATTAAATAAACAATACAATAGGACAAAGTCGAACTGCCCCATAGTGTTTCCTAAGCGGCCTCGTGGGTTACCTGATGGGCTGCTAAACTCAAGGTCACCATCAGCCTCGGCAGGAGGAAGAGGAGGCTTTCTGCTCCCATAAAGAGTTACGTTCTTAGAAGCCTACGGGGTAGTTCTCTGTGCTGTAGATAGGCTCGCTATGGGTCAGAGTCCACTGGACAGCGGCAAGTTTGGTTTGCAGGTTGACTGCACAGCTTTGCTCTCAAGGAGCTACTGGTGGGTTCAAACTGCTGGCCCTTCGGTTAGAAGGCAAGCATTCATCTGTGCCACCAGTGGAGCCCGTAAGTACTGAGAGTGTGTTGGCTGCTGTCCTGGTTGCTAGATATGATTCCATCCTGTCTGTTAGTACACAGCTCTCTAGTTCATTGGCACAGTCATTTGTGCAAGGTCACAAAGCAAGGAATGCCAAGTTATGGAGCAAACGCAGGTCTATTAACTTTGAAATGTATGACATTGCAGTACCCTCACTGATCTGCTGGGGGAAAAGGGAGAGGGGCTCAAAGACATTTCCGTGATTTGTTATGGAGTAATAGAAAATATTTAAAGATCTTGCCATCTTTTTATCTTTTAAGGGTTGTTAGTGACCATTGAGTTGGCTTCACCTCAGTGGTGACCAGGGGGTAACCGTGCGGTGTTAGCCAGTCCTACCCAGCTTCGGGCCGTTGGTCTGTTTGGAGTCCATTGTTGCCTGTTGTGTTCACCCATCTCCGTGAGGGCTTCCCTCACTTTTCACTGACCCTCAGACTTCTTTTCTGGTAACTTGTCCAAACAAAGTACACACAGTCTTGACCGGCTGCTTCTACGGAGCAGTCAGTGTATTCTGATACTGATCTGTCTGCTGTGCTGGTAATAACAGTACCGAAATTTTAGAAAATGTTCCGAATTTCTTGTGGTAAATAGATGTGTTTTTTAAACCTGTTTTCACATCACAGCTGCTTGACACAACGGTCCAGCTTCCATGAGTAAGGGGACCTTCCTAGGTTCTTTACTGTGTGACAAGCGCTGGCACAGATGTGTTTCCTTAAAGCAGTGGTGCTCAACCTTCCTAACGCCATGACCCTTTCATACAGTTCCTCATGTTGTGGTGACGCCCCAACCATAAAATTATTTTCGTTGCTACTTCATAACTCATTTTGCTACTGTGATGAGTTGGGCGACCCCGGTGAAAGAGTCGTTCACCCCAAAATGGGTTGCGATCCACAGGTGGAGAACCGCTGCCCTATAGGTTAGAGGAGAACTGCCCCAGGGCATTTACAAAGCTGTAATCCTGGGGAAAAGCATTGTGGGCAAGACAAGAGTATGTGTGGAAAAGATACTGTATAATTAGTGGATTGGACTAAGATTCTCTGAACTCCCACTTTAATTTTTACATTGTTCATCTTCATTTGAACCACGTGGGGGTCAGTAGACATCGCAAATCTTGTAGTCCATTGCTGTGCTCACGCTGGTTTGGGGATTACCCCTGCATGTGGAAAACTGAATGGAAACCCAAAAGAATTGGATACCTCTTGCACCTGAATTTTTCTGGTGCCGTCATCATTCAGTTCTGGTCATCAATTTCTGTTGCTAGGGAAGCAGTGGTCTCGACCTAACAAACAGGGAAGTTATCCTAAGTAAGATGAAGTTGATTTCATTATACGGATGGTCTCGACCTAACAAACAGGGAAGTTATCCTAAGTAAGATGAAGTTCATCATTGATTTCATTATACGGATGGCAGCTGCTGTGGAGAATTTTCATGAATAAACTTTTTTTTAATGTTTAATCATTTTACTGGGAGCTCTTCAGCTATCATAACATTCCATAGTTCAATCACATCAAGCAGTATTATACAACTGCTACCACTATCACAAACTTTCTTCTTGAACTTGATATCAGCTCTCCTTTATCCCCTCCCTCTCCTACCCTACCCCCCAGGAACCCCTAAAAATGTTCCCCCTATAGTTGTGTTGTCTTTTTTTTTGGGGGGGGGGCATGTCACACAATCCAATATATCCATTCCTATACAATTCTGTTGTTCGATCCCATCTAATGGGTTTTACAGTCATCAATGCTATCAGTTCTCTATCACCCCTCTCCCCAGACCCTCAGGGAACCATTACTCCTGTTACTGTTTCTGAAGGATTATCTATCTTAGCTTTCATGTACCAAACAATCTTAAATATACAAATGAACATATGCAAATTTACATCATGATTAATGAGGTAAAACAAAAGAGATAATAGTAAGGGAAGGAACTACTAAAGAACTAGGGGATGGTTATGTGGTTCCTCAGTGCTATACCACACCCTGGATTTATCATTCCTTCCTTCCATGTGGCTCTTCTGAGAGTGACTGTCCAATTATCTTTCCTGTGAGTTTTGGGTCTTCAGTACATCCACGCCCCTTCATATCAATTTGGTTGCTTGTTTTTGTGCTTCTGATACCTCTTCCTGTAGACACCTCATGGTCACCCAGGCTGGTGTGCTTCTTCCATGTGGGCTTTGTTGCTTCCTTACTAGATGGCCACTTGTTTAACTACAAGCCTTTAAGACCCCAGATCCTCTATCTTTTAATAGCCGGCACCATCCACTTTCTTCACATTTGCTTATGCACCCATTTTGCCTTGTCATGTCAGGAAGATGAGTATATGGATAAACATGTGATCTTGTTGGGTTTTTTACAGGAAGATGTTGGATCCAGGATTGCTGTCATGTTCCAAGCAAGCCATGTTCCTTAACCTTGTCTACAAATCTCTGAAAGCTGACGTTGTGTTGCGCCGGGTGAAGGCTTTCCTCAAGAGGCTACTTCAGGTCACTTGTGAACAGATGCCGCCATTCATATGTGGAGCTTTATATCTGGTTTCTGAGATCCTTAAAGCAAAGCCAACTTTGAGAAGTCAACTCGATGATCATCCGGTATATTTTAGAACTTTTTAGTTTGTGGGTTTAAAATGACAGTTTTTTGCTTATTTGTTTTTCTGTGTTAGTAACTGATTTACTTAGTTCTTTGTCATTGTCGTGTAGGCATGTGTCGTAAGTCGGACAGACCTAGATTGTAGTACCATTTGCACACTTCACCAGCTGGGCATGACACTTGGCGCCTCTAGTGCTGATAAACTGCACTAGCAACTATGAGGGCTGCTAGTTGGGATGGTCAGTTCTGACCCATGCTAACCCCAAGTACAACTGTGTTCCATGGGGCTTTCAGGGGCTGATATTTTGGAAGTAGATCTCTAGTCCTTTCTTCTGAACTACCTTAAGGTTGACTTGAACCTCCAGCCTTTCAGTTAAACTGCATGTACACATGCAGAAAGTTGTAAACCTGGTGGTTCTAAGTGTTTCCTCCAGTGTAAAATGGAACTAATAATAGCAACTGCTATTATTATTGAACTTTCTATTAAGAAATGTTTTCAAGGTATCAGAAGTTTGAGACTGGCCATTTAAAACTGTAGAGTCCCAAAATTTCGGGTGTTCTTGGCTCAGTTTTACTTGGTCACATTTAGAGATCAGAATATGGTCTCATCTTTTGTTCTAAATTTCACAATGACCACTGTTTTACTTTGATTGGAATTTTATATTTTACCAGATCAATAAGTAAATCTTCTATACTCTGCATCACTTAATTGAGTACAGATTTATAACCTTCAAGTAACCCAGATTTATGAACCATTGTTTTGTTAGGAGTCTGATGAGGAGGAAAATTTTGTTGACATCGGAGATGACGACGAAGACACAGACAAATCCGCTGATGCAGACCGAGAAACAGACCCCGACAAACAAGTTGAGACACGGGAGCCTGTGTCTGGAAGTGACGTGGAAGCTGAACCACCAAAGCCAGCTTCCTGGGTACACTTTGATAATTTCAAAGGTAAAGTATTTTTCATTTAGATTCCAGGTTTGTTTAGATAATCACCGCATTCACCCTCTACAAACCTCCTCAGGATAAAGAGCCACTTGAAGTGGTTCTTCATCCCCACACAGAGTGTGCTATATCTATCTGTTAACACGATGCTAGAGTTAAACAAGTCTTAGAAATGCAGCCTTTTCACCTGAGGCTATGTAAAAAAATAAACGAATAAAACACCGAACCTTAAGGATGAAGAAATTGTGATGTCAGACCCATTTCTTCAAACATGTGTGGCTCTTGGTCAGATTTGTGAATCTTTCTAGACATCAGCCAGTGTGTGAAGCACAAATAAAGAGTCTGGCATCCTCCAGGAAAGTTGTTTAAAGAATCCGTCATGTGTCCTGAAGTCTTAACCTGAGGATGAAGCTGAATGAATATTTGGAGCCCTCTAAAACTCTGAAAGACTTCAGACTTCTAACATCTTCAGGTTCCTGCCAGCTTAACATATATGCCTTACCCCCAGACGGGAGCCTTTTTGTTTCTATTTGACAAAAGGAGCCATTTTTCAAAGAGGTTTTTAGTGTTTGGGATGAACATGCTGCCAGTTTGTCCAAGAGCAAATGCTAGAAACCGAGTGGTTCTTGCGGGGGCTTGTCTTGTTTTTAATCTATATAGGTTACCTTGCTAATGTGTTGGAAATCGTTTATTGTCGTGGTGGGCTTTATGACTTCTTAGGTTAGGAGTACAACACCTGTAAAATACCTCTCCTTTCCCCTTCCCTCAGGTGGTAAACAGTTAAATACATATGATCCATTCAGTAGGAACCCTTTGTTCTGTGGAGCGGAACATTCAAGTCTTTGGGAACTCAAAAAGGTGAAACAATTTCACATTGTCTGTCTTGTGCTGTGTATTTGTCCTTCTGGCTTTAACACGTTGAAGTGTTTGTTATAAATGATAAATAAGTTGATGTCGTATATATAGATATCAGTTCATTTTTATAACAGAATGAATCATGTCTCAAAACTGTCGTGCTTTAATCCATAAAATTAAAATTGTCATTCAGTTCCCACATTTGAGGGAAAACACTGGATGTGGTGTTTATTTGGCTGAAAATACAGAATCCAAACTGCCTGGCTGTGAGTTGTCGTCAGCAGGGAGAGCATCACTTCTAATCTCTGTCGGACAGGTGATTTTTACTTTACAGGGTAGATGCCTCTGGAAAGTCTTATGTCAGTAGATTTTTATGGCAAATAGACCCATCTTTTTTTTTTTAACATTTTATTAGGGGCTCATACAACTGTTATCGCAATCCATACACACATCAATTGTGTAAAGCGCATTTGTACATCATTCTCAAAACATTTCCTCTCCACTTAAACCCCCAACATTAGGTCCTCGTTTTTCCCCTCCCTCCCCGCTCCCCCCTCCCTCATGAGCCCTTGATAGTTTATAAATGGGTATTTTGTCATATCTTGCCCTGTCCGACGTCTCCCTTCACCCACTTTTCGGTTGTCTGTCCCCCAGGGAGGAGGTCACAGATAGTTCCGACCATCATTTTTAACATTCATCAAAAGAACTCTCATTTCCAGTTATCTCTCTGTGGTTTTAAAATATATCCCCATGCTGCTGTTGTCAAACTGTGGGCCCCGCCCCAGGGCTCCCTGATACCCACTCTGGGTCTGCAGGCTCAGAACCGCGTCCGTCACCACAGCGAGGCAGGCTGTCCTCTGGGCTGTGTCGCCGCGGCCAGTGGAGCTGCTCGGGCCTGAGCACAGATCAGGACAGTGGCACCAAACGACCGACACTGGTGACTGCCAGGGTAGAAACCACCATGTACTCTCGTTACAGGATTATGCAAAGGAGGGTGAAACAGGAACAACTGTTGATTTTTTTAATTTGAGCAATACGCATATTCACTTTGTGAATTTTCCCATACTGTGTGATATATAGCAAGTCGGCATCGTGCGGTTCCGCTTCGCTAGTAGGAAGGTTGTCTCAAGGAAAAGCACCTGTGCAGTTGTTGTAAGACCAGCTACATGTCGTCATGAAAGAATGTTATGATATGGTCCGTACATGTCCTGACTCTAAGGTTATTATTCAGATGTGGCTATCTGGAGATGGTTTCTAGGGAAAAAATGAAGTGAGCCTAATGCTTCCGGGAAAACAAATAATAGTACTTGTTGCCAGTGGTCAACTTCAGCGTCTCGAGACAAGATTAGAATTTTAGAAAATTTGAGGCCACCGCTGAGCTTTGGACTCCTTGTAGTTGGGGCTTTTCTGATCAAATCAATGATGGCATTAACTGGCTTTTTGTTATGTTGTGTAACCAAACATCAAGTGTTTCACTGAATCATAGATAGTAAAAGGTCAATGGGTTATAAGTAATACATATCATATGTCGATTGGTCGGGCTTCAGACTCCTATTGCAAGTAATTGCTGGACTTTGATATGTTAAAGAATATTAAAGGCTATACCCACGTTCACGCTCTGAAAAGCTGTTAGAAATCCTGCTTTTTCTAACTGCCTATTTGTGTAAAGCCAGATTTCCTACAGATTCTTAAACCCAAATAACATGAAATAACAAAAGCAGATACAGTCAAATACCAGACATGAATGAGATTAGCAAAATGGTAAAATAATGCTACTCTTGTTTTTTGTCTTGAAAATTATTTTTTATAAAACACTTTTACCAACCAGTTTATTATTTTAAGCAATTCTGAATATTGGTTCCATTTTAACTTCTTACGTAGATATCACAGCCCTAGGGGTCCTTAGGAAGTCGTGGTCCTAATATCCATATTCACTTTGTAAATTTGAATTCTTTGACTTTCCCAAGTCATTTGTAATTACACTGAAAGTTGACACGAGAGTGCTGACCTTGCCCATTTCCCTTTCAGTTGTCTGAGCATTTCCATCCCTCCGTGGCCCTTTTCGCCAAGACTATCCTCCAGGTGAGTCCAAATGTTGTGAAAATAAGAAGTAACAAAAACAAAAGTAAACTAACTTGGGTAATAAATGACCATATAATTTTGCATCACCAAGTAGACGTACAGATGCATTTTACGACTACTTTCTTAAATAAGCTGTAGCTATTTAAGATGAAGGGGCTTTAAAAAGTTGATGGGGAAATTCCATCTTTTAATTGCATTTTCCCTAAACTTTTTGAAGTTCCCTTGTACAGAGTAGCAGATGACCCTTCTCATTCTAAGATTATTGGCAGCTCAGGGTATTAGAAACCACAACACCTTCTGACTTTTCTCCTGGGAAAAAAGACGGCCCTCCTCTCGTTCAGATGCTTCTTGGAACCTGGTTGGGATGTACCTTTTGATCGGGCCAGCAGTGAGGGCACCCATAGCATGTATATCAGTGCGCGTGTGGGTGTGTTTAATTGTAGGAGCCCTGTTGCTCTGTCGGGTAAGCATTGGACTGCTAACGTACAAGTTGATGGTTTAAACCCGCTGGCTTCTCCGAGGTAGAACGGTGAGACTATCTGCTCCCATAAAGATGGACAGCCCTGGACACCCTACATAGAGCTAATATGAGCTGCAGTCAACTCAGTGGCGGTGGGTTTGGGTGTTTGATTTTTTTTTTTTTCCAATTAAAAAAACATGTATAAGCCTGGCATTTGAAGGGTCATTTATTGCTATTTGAGAGACCAGTCCTTGGAGAAGGACATCAAGCTTGGTAAAGTAGAAGGTCGGTGAGAAAAGAAGACGCTCAATAAGGTGCATCCACACAAGGACTGCGACCACGGGCTCAATGTAGGAGGGTTGCTCTGAGTCAGACTGGCTGACGGGCCCCTGCAAACAGCTTCCATTGCCACCTAGAAGCTTGTGTGCTTCACTTTTCCTATCTGGATGCACATAAATAATTCACGTTCTTAAACCTCATCCCCTCCTTCTCAGGGAAATGATATTCAGTATCCAGGAGACCCCCTGCAGGATTTTACGCTGATGAGATTCTTGGACCGGTTTGTGTACCGAAACCCAAAGCCACATAAAGGCAAAGGTATGCTTCGATGGTATTATTTGGCTTTCGCTGTGGATCTATTTAAATAACACCAGCATATTGCTAGGTGCTTCTACTCCATTGTTTTTACATTTCAGAAAACACCGACAGTGTTGTCATGCAGCCCAAAAGGAAGCAGTTTATGAAGGATATTCGTAGTCTTGCCGGTAAGTACATAGCTTGTACATTTGAAACTGAAAGCCAGTACCAGAAAGTAATAGGGGCCTTCAAAAACTTCATGGAAAATGGAATTTAAAGATAATTTTTTTCTATTGCTACAGGCATTTGATTGTGCTACTCATCTTGTGGAGCTAATTCACTATTTCTCTAGTCATATAGACATTTCTTTTCAAACCAGATTCCAATTCCTCTTACCCCGCCCACCACCCCTTTCAGGCTCCAATGTGAAACTCCACTAAAACAAAATCTGTTGCCAACATGTCGACTTTAACTCAAGCCACCTGTAGCAGAGCAGAACTGCCTTTAGGCTAAAAATCTTTATGGAAGCAGGTTACCACATCTGGGGGTGGGGAGGTGTTCGAACCACTGACCTTCGAATTATAACCAATGTGCCCACCAGAGCTCCTAGAGTTATATTTGACCTTATACACCAACTAGTTAATTTTAAGAGTAAGAGAATCTGTAGGTTAAAAATGGAGTCCCTGGTTAAGCACTCCACTGGGAACCAAATTATTGGTGATGGGAGTTCACGCAGACATACTTGGGAAGGAAGGTCTCACCATCAATTGCTGAAAAAAATCAACAACTGAAAGCCTTAGAGGGCAACTGTTCTACTGTAATGCACCTGGAGTCATGAGTTTGAATCAACTCAGTAACTGCCTCAGCTTGGCCTTTTTAGGGATCCAAGTGAAAGACAGTGAGGCCCTTGTTTGGGGGGTATTTTTGTCAATGTGCATTGCACTGAGAGCGTTGCCTTCTCCACTGTCGACTACTGTAGCTAGTACATTGTTTGAAACCGTTGGTTTTGCTTTTACCAGAAGTTGTCCTTTACACTAGAGGATGTTGTTCTGGGACTATAGAATTGCAAGCATTCTGTATTTATTCATACGGTCTTGGACAACAAAAAGGATTAAAATGACTTTTTAATCTGTCTTCTTAGTAAACAGTAAAGAATTCCTTGCAAAAGAAGAAAGCCAAATACCAGTGGATGAAGTGTTTTTCTACAGGTAATATGCTTAATGGAGTTTTATTTGTGGAGCAGTTAATATCAAAAATGTTTCCTTTAAAATGATTTGTTAGATAAACATCTTTTACTATGCCATTTTGGTTAAAATAAGTTTTCTTTAATGAAGAACTAGTTTTAAGATATGCGAGTCTTTGATATTTACACTGTACATTTTATAACATTGGATTCACAACCACTTTTTGTACAATAAATACAGTTTTTAGTCGGTTTTTTTCTTTCAGTTTTTAGTCTTTTATATCCAATTGAATATGCTTAACAGCTTATACAATAGTGATTTGTTTTGCTGGCGATAACTGCTTTGGTGATAGTAAAATAGACCCTTAGTTCAACGACCAAATACATTGCATATTCTTTATTTTAGGTATTATAAGAAAGTTGCTAGTATTAAAGAAAAACAAAACCGACATGCAGATGAAGAAAGTATAGAAGATGTGGACGACGATGAATTTGAGGAAATGATTGGTAATTTGTTTTGTTAATACTTCACTTTATTTAAAAGTAATTGCTTACAGACCATGGAACATTAGTATTAGAAGTGACCTGACCCTTTTTTCTTTTTTTAATATCACATAGCTTAGAATAATATGAACATTAAAATGAAGAGTAATGAGGTATTTTTGTGACGCATAAGAATTTGCCCACGCTTGCTCCTGAGGATTGTGCTTTGAATAGTTCTTGTCAGAAAAAACTTTCTATGTAATTCTAAGGGTCAAAAAGCCTAATCCATTTTTACTGATTTCTCTCTCTAGAATGTTTGCTTGTATTCCAAATGAAATGCCCCACAGCACATCCACTGTCCATTCAGAACCACACCGGCTGTCCTGTGGCATCGGTCCTGTGGCAGCACTTCCTTTTCCTCTCGAGTTCCACTCCACGCCTTCACTCTCCCGACCCCCCTCCCCTGGTTTGGGCACATGTTGCCCTTTCAGTTTCATAGAATTGATCCTTCTATGGAGCAGGTTCTCCCCCTGGAATATTGGATTATTATTATTTTTTTTAATTCGGATTATTTTTTTTAATTAATCATTTTATTGGGGGCTCTTACACCTCTTATAACAATCCATACATCAATTGTATCAAGCACACTTGTACTATGTTTGCCATCATTATTTTCAAAACATTTTCTTTCTACTTGAGCCCTTAGTATCTGCTCCTTTTTTTCCCTTCCTTCCCCACCCTCCCTATTGATGATTTTATAGAGCCCTCTCTTAATTAGCTGAAACATGGCATCTGGGAGTGTCGTCAGGTTCTCTTAAGACAAGAAACTAGAGGTTCCTGAGTCTCTTTCACACCTGAAACTGGTCTTTTTCAGTCTGCCTTGTGAAGTCACTGCAGGAGACTCCAGCTGTGGTCCGGGCAGCAGTGGCAGTCACAGGCTCGAGGCAGCCGTGGTCCACGTGGGCTATTAGTCCTTTCAACTAATACTTGCTTGTTTTTGCTGTTTCTAATCTTGTATTAGGTGTCAGTAATCTGGTTTTTCACCAGATTGTAACCGCAGAGTTAGAAAACTTTATTGAAACTAAATAAACTAAATCTTGGTAGAGAAGCAGTGAAAAAGGCAGGCCCTTGACCATATGGATTGTCACGGTGGCCACGGTACTAGAGTCAGGCACAGGAACAACTGTGAGGATGGTGCCGGACGGGGGTGGGGGGGGTGGGTGACACTTCCGTTGTCCGTAGGCTTGCTCCTCATCGGCACCAACTCCATGGCACTGAACAACAAATGAACTAAAAAAAGCATGTGCCCCGCAGGGGTGTACATTTCATTTCATTTTTTATTGCATATTATACTAAACCTACTTAAATACTCTCAATAGCGTAAAAAGGACCGTAGCTGCTAAATGTTTGCAGTTTATTGTTTCTATACAAAGGCTGAATTTAATTGGAATTCCTACTACTTTGGGAATTTGATTAAAGTCAGTACATTCACAGGCATATAAATATTAATATAAAGTTAGCAACAGTCCCGTATCATTGTGGTGCTTACTTGTGATCAGTAGCACAATTATAACTATTAGAATAATGGATTCAGATATAAGGTACGTGGTCATCTTGTTTTTTGCATTAGTTAACAATGTGTATATTCTCTGGCAGACACGTTTGAAGATGACAATTGTTTCACCTCTGGAAAGGACGACCTTGACTTTGCTGGGTAAATAACTTCTCCAGTGTTTTCCTTCCTGTGACATGCAGCGGACTTTGTTTCCAGCATTCCCGTTGTCCCCCACAACAAAGACCAGAGAATTGGGATTTGTAGGGAAAATGTATCCAAATAATGTAGGGAAATGGATACACAAGTTTCACTTGGGGCCTTTCTAATGTATTAAATAAAGGCTCCTGGTCTGTTAAGTTTCTCACTAAATCTTTTTCACAGCCTCGTACCCTGGGAAAAGTGCCCTTGTTAACATTACCCACTCACTGGTGGCCCAGTGCTTACAGAGGGTGGTGATTTGAACTCGCCCGGCACCCCCCAGGAGACAGATGAGGCAGTCTGCTCCCATAAAGATTTTCAGCCTTGGGAACCCCACAAGGCAGTTGTACTCCATCCAATAGGATCAAAGTGGGTCAGAACTGAGTTGATAGCAGCTCTGGCTTTTGCTACATTTTTGTTTTTGTTTTGTTAGCTATGTGAAAAAGAAAACAAAGGGAGTTAAAGATAGCCCAGAAGATGAAGATTCAGAAGGTAGTGATGATGACTTTGATAACCTGGATGATGATGAGGTTTCTTTGGGAAGTATGAATGAAGAATTTGCAGAAATTGATGGAGACGGAGGAACATTCATGGATGTATTAGACGACGACAACGAAGGCATTCCAGGTAAGCATGTTTAAATTATAAGACAGAAACAAACTGTAGGATAGTAATAAACTTGTTTTCCTTTCTTCCTCAACTTAGGCTAATGTTTCTGTTAAAGGTTTTGCTTTTGAACATGACCCTATATTCACATTGAGGAGCCCCGGTGGTGTACTGATTATGCATTGAGCTGCTAACTGCAAGGTTAGCAGTTCAAAACCATCAGTCACTCCACAGGAGTAAGATGAGGGTTATTTTAAATTCCATAAAGAATTCGTCTCAGAAACTCACAGGGCCAGTTTTACCCTGTTCTGTAGGGTCTCTGTGAGTCAGAATTGACTCTTTCGCAGTGTCTGGTTTATATTCAGATTAACATTAAAATCTGGAAGAAGTTTTTAAAAATTAATATTCCTCATCACTTTATAGCATAAATCAAGGTATACATTTTATCTTACTGTTGTAAATTAGTAACACCCAAAATTGTGCCCTTGAACTTAATCTACCCTTTCATGTGTCTCCATGTACACACACCCTTGCCCAGTAGCCTGCATCCTAGATAGAAGACAGCAGATGTTTCTGAGAGTTTTATACAAGGGAACTTCAGAAAGTTTGTCCAGACAAATCTACTTTCTTTTAATTCCATTTTTCCATGAACTTTTTGAAGTCCCCCCTCATATTATTTGGTCTTGTTCACGTATCTAGCTGGTGAACTTGTGCAAAATATGGCACGATGTCAGTAGTTATTCTTAAGACCTTGGCCTCCCTCAGTCCTCAACACCTATGCTCATGGAACTGTGAGTACAGGTAGTACAGTACATGGTCTTTAAATTACGCATTACTGTTTTGCTGTTCTCTTCACAGAACTCGAGGAGGAGGAGCACTCCAAAGTCAACAGCAAGAGACACAAGAGGAAAGGTGTAAACGATTTTGACTTTTCTGGGTCATTTGAAGGTAAGAAAATATCTTTAATCTCTTTTAAACATAAAATACTCTCCATGTGAAAGACACTATTCATTATCATTTCGAAATTCCTCATTTTTTTTTCCCAAGGAGCAGCTAGTGGTTTCAAACTCCTGACCTTGTGTAACCCATTACGCTACCTGGGTTTCAAAAACTGGCAAGGGGAGCTATTTTTGAATGGTGGAAACGTTCTAAAATTGGGCTATAGTTATAGTCAAACCACTCTGTAAATTTACTAAATGTATGGCAGTATATGCACTTAGATCAGCCAGCTGTTAAAGTAGAGCCCCTAAGCAAACAGTGGCTCTAGGGATGCCAGGAATGGCTTTTAGGAAACATGAGGCTAGAGAAAAGCAGTGCTTCTGTGTTTTCTGATGATCTGATTTTAAATATCTATAAATTAAAATGAGTATTACCAGTGCATATTCTACTGTTTTATCTATATTCCCTAAAGGTTTATAGAGTCAAAATTATAGGTATGTTTTCAAAACAGTTTTTTTAATATAGCCAAAACTTCATTTATAACAATATACCTTCAAAAAGTTAATTCAAAGCATAGCACCTCTCGGTGTAGTTGGAGTTTGCATTTTGCTGTAAACGTGCCCAGACCCATCCGTGAGAGCTTTAGAGTTTCACTCTTGGCTGACACTGAGATGTTTCTTTTATGAGTACGTCTTGATCAGGGCCAAATCTGAAAGACAAGGAGACACTGTTGTCACCTGAGTAGCTCTACTTGGATGTGAACTTTAAAAAAGAACTATATCCTACCAGCCAGTGGTTTCAACCCCACCTCATAGTGAACTTGTGGGCAAAGCAGAGCTGCGGCCTCTAGAAGCCCTCAGGGCGTTCTCCCAGAGTGCCCTCCAGCTGCCATCCTGGTGATGCAGCCACGCACTTGAACTGCCGCGCTTATGCGAACTCCTAACTTGCATCTCTGCCTCTAAGTGCCAACTATTTAATGGGGCTAGAGGATAACTGCAAATGTAGACTTTTAAACCAAATGAACATTTCCCCATAAATCATTAACAATATGATTGAAAAATCTGGACTTACACCCCACCCCTTTTTCTTAACCCCCAGGACCAAGGCAAAAAAAGAAAAGAGGTTTTAAGGACTCTAGTCTATTTGTATCTGCTGAAGAGGTAAGGTTAATATGAGTACTTTAATATGTTATCTATTCCATATTGCTTGAAACTTTCTAATATCTCTCTCTCTCGTTCACCCCCAAGTTTGGACACCTATTGGATGAAAATATGGGATCTAAGTTTGATAGTATTGGCATGAATGCCATGGCTAACAGAGATAATGCAAGTAAGTACTTTGAATGGTTGAGTTTTTAAATTTGCCTTGACTTAGAACTTCTGAAAAAGTAAATACATTCTTGAAAGACCTGTCTTATAGTACTTTATAACTTGTTTCCTAGCTGAGCAGAGCCTAGGATCAAAATGCACTTAAGGTTACCTATCATCCTAGAAAAGGACATCATCTTTGGTAAAGTGGAGGGACCGCCATAAAAAGGCCCTCGATAGAATGGATTGGCCCAGTGGCTGCAACACTGGGCTCAAACCCAAATCCTTGTGGGGACGGTGCAGGAGCAGGCAGTGTTTCAGTCTGCTGTTCACAAGGTCACTGTGAGTGGGGACCGAGTCAGTGGCTCCGATCAACGTGGCTTTGAACAACAATGTTGTGTGAGTAGGCCAAGTAAGGACATTGTCATTTCGGATGCTGATTGTTATTGGCTTCTGCTCTTACAACAGTGCAAGTGCACAGGGGTGTCAATCTCCAAATCCTTGTTCCCTTTCCTATCCTAGTCTTTTACTTATAAAACATGAGTCTGGGCCAATAAACGATACAGAAGAAAAGCCATAGAGCAGTGGATTTGTGTCGTGGTCAGAAAGAACCCCAGGACAGGCAGGGGTCCCCACAGCAGCAGAGGTTCTGTGGGACAGACAGCCCATCATCTACAGCGTCGTGGTTTCATGGCTCTTCTCTTTCTCCCAAAGGTTTCAAGCAGCTTAAATGGGAGTCTGACCGTGATGACTGGCTACACAACAGAGATGTGAAAAGTATCATCAGAAAAAAGAAAAACTTCAAGAAGAGGCCAAGAACCACTCAGAAAACTAAAAAGCACAGAAAATAGTGTTAATATAAATTAAAATTGTACTTACTGCTAACTTTTACTATTTAGCCATTTTTCTTGATCTTGCTCTCTGATTCCATACATTCCAGATTGTTCAATGGATTTGTAATAAACTATAAATAAAAACAGGTACCATTTATAAAGTAAAAATACTGTTAAAATTAAATCCAGCTTTTCATGTTTCTACATAGTAAATGAAAAAGATGGTACAAGCTCTAGCACGACTTTACTAAGGGTTGTCAGGAGTACTGTTTCTTATACCAGGTGCAGTGCTAAGTAACTACACGAACCTTAAACTAACCTCTGAAGATGCTGGCAAGCGTTAAGACTAGTTCTTAATGTTAAGCAATGCCTGCATTCCAACACCATCCCACGTGCCTCATCTCAAAGGCTATTTCTTAGCCACTTGAACGCAGAATCCCATCAGCTCTGTCTACAGACAATTGTTTTCTCCACTGTTACCATCTCAGAAGTGAAAACAGGGCTGACTAGGATTGTTAGAGACCAACCTACCAAGCAGGATTTATAGGTTACCTGAAAACTTATTTTTATTTTGTAAAAATGTACCTTCCAAGATGAAGGGAAATTTCTTGTTCATTGTTTGTCTGAAATCTGAGATTAAAAAAATAAAATAAAATTAGACATCAGAAATTCATTAAATTAACACAAGGACCCACAGCTTAAGGCTAGCTTCAAGGTCTATATTATCAGAATATAGATGAGAATTTTGTATTAAAGGCTAGTAATACAGAACTATCTTCTAGAGCTACCATGTCATCCGGTCTACGGTTTTCCTAGTTTGGAAAGAAGGAAAAGCAATTCATGCTAATAAGAATTTGAAAGCCTTGATACAAAATTGTCTCCACAATACGTTGCAGCCTTCAGTGATGGTCAGAAGCACAGGATGGGATTTTAGTGCTCATGGGAAGGAGAAAACAGGCGAGCGTGAGAAAATGGGTAGTTTTAGCAAACACGGCCATGGTCCCTTTTGCTTTCTCAGAAATGAAATTTAGTGTAGTAGTGCAGCCAAGTTCTAGCTGTGCTTCCGAACCAAGCCGGCCCCAGGCACTTGCTGTTCCTAGCTCCACCAGTGTGATCCCCAAAGGTGAAATGTTTCCCCTGGTCTACAAGCCTGACTTTGTTTCCTTTCTCTTTAGTTACTCAGAATAATACGGCACTAAGGAATACTTGTAAACTGTACAATTGATTATTTCTGTTATGTCACTGACACAGCTTTAAATTAATTCTTTACAATTAATTCATGGAGGTAGGATCTTTAACAAACTTTTTTCCCATGAAGTAATTCTTTTTTAAAGGGAAGTGTCGTCTTCGTTTATATCCATAAAAATGCCCAATACACTGAATCAAAAAGCAACTGTTGCCCAAATAGCACTTACACTGCAAACCGGACACCTCTATTAAATAGGACATGAAGTGATTACCTTGGCTTGTGTTCATTTTATTAAACAAAGAATAAGCTCCAACAACACCTGCAACTTCAGCTACTAAAACTCCAGTCAAGATCTTCTTTGCCAGTGGTTTCATAGGGTGGGCCATCCTGAAGTAAACCAGAGATACAAGTAAACCCGAATTAGCATATTCAGACCTTTAGCATCGCCTCTATAAAGATAACGTCCACTCAGTACCACAATCTGCATGCGAATCTGTGGAAATGGTCCACTGCTGTCGGGTGGATTGTGACGGGCTTTGTGAGGCTTCAAATCTCTAAGGGAGCAGAGAGCCTCCTCTTTGTCCTCAGAGCTGCTGGTTTAAACCACCAACCGGGTGGTTAGCAGTCCAACGCTTACCCAAATGAGCCACCAGGGCTCCTTTGTATGGATATATGGCCCTGAAATTACTATAATTTAGCTGGATTAAACAGGCCACACAAACAGGTTTTCAATTTTCTATATAGTGATGAGGGGCCCCAGTGACAGTGCTTACACATTAGGCTGCTTAACAGCAAGGTCAGGAGCTCGAAGCCAGCAGCAGCTCTGCAAGAGAAAGATGAGGCTTTCTACTCCCGTAGAGTTACAGCCTCCGAACCCCATAGTAGTTCTACCCTGTCCTGTGGGCCAGTCAGTCAGAATCGATCAGTGGCAATGAGTTGAGAGAATAGTGACAAGTAGGCCTAAGGGGCATAATAGAAACAAAGATACAAGAGGAAATAAAATTCAAGAAGGAATTTTTGTTTTTAATGGTGGAACTAAGTTTTAAAAGCAGACCTAAGACTAGGAATGGTGGAAGAAATGTTCGATCGCTTTGTAAGGGAACGAAGCAGTAAGACCCACTCTCCAGGAGACCTGGTAAAGAACTGCGCGGCTAGCCACAAGGCTGGAGGTCCTAAGGCACCAGCTGCTCAGGAAAGACGGACAAGCTCTGGTGCAGTTCTCAGGCCTGCAGGGCTACAGAAATGACTTCATGGCAGGGGATTTGCTTTTGGTTTTAATGGGCAAGACCTAGCCCGCAGGCCCTCCCACCCCCTGGCCATGGCTTAGGTACTGTCCACTTCCTTTTATGGGGGAAGAATAAAACACATTTATCATGAGGAGCCCTGGGGGCATAGTGGACTGTGATCCACAAGATCCGAAGTTCGAAACCACCAGCCACTCCTGGAGAAAGATGGGGCTTTCTACTCCTGTAAACAGTTACAGCCTCAGAAACTCACAGACCCTCTCCTGTCCTATAGGGTCGTTACGAGTGGCATCAAGTCAATGGCAGTGAGTTTGGTTGAATTAAAGCTCGGTGCTGACACGTTGGAAGACAATCACTCTTAGAAGAACATCTCTTCCTCCTGAGCAAAGCGCAAGTTTGCTCACAGCCTTGTAAGAGACACAGTGTCTGCCATCAGAGCAAAGGGCAGGCATGCTTACTTCCACTATAAAAGACTTGCGGTCCCAACCACAGGGTTTCCTGCCTGAGGATACAGTTGTCATCTGGCCCACTTCCCATCCCTTGGGGGAAAGTGGAACTTGGAAAATTGATGGGAATGCTAACACTCGAGGGTGGCTACTGCAATTGCATAATAAATCCGTTACCCTAGACCCATCAATATGGGGTCTTCTACCTGCCTCCATGAAACCAGCAAGCTAACTAGTTAGCTTGCAAATAAAGCAAGATCTCAGCTCCTGCCCAATTCTGGACAAAATTGCTCAAGGAAACTTCATAAAGATATCACTGAACTTCATCATTTTGTGAGTCAGCCTCACCACCACCACCTTGCCATTAAGCTCAGTGTATCGCTGACTCTGCACAAATCACGGTACTATGCCAGACACTGCTTCAGCGCTCTACATGTTCTCACCTAAATTGCCAACCACTCCATCTCAAGTGACATTTTACCACTAGAAAACGGATGCCCAGAGAGATTAAACACTTCACCTAAAGTCAAAATTCTCAAGTGAGCAAGGCAGCTTACAACCAAGGCTATCTAACTCGACTCCTGACCAGGCCAGGATAATCTGCTAGTCTGGTGTCCCATGTGTAAAATGAAAAAATTAAACCAGATTATGTCTAAAACTACCTCTCAGTTCTAACATCATTCTTTCCCGCCCCCGGCCCTCTCCTTTCAGTTACCTTTCACTCTGTGTGTGCGCTAAATTGAGAGATCTAATTGCATAGAACTCACATTTTAAACAATATAGTAATTCAGTTCGTGAATACAAAATAATCCCCCATTTAATAACATATATTTTGTCAGCGTACTGCAGTTCATGCATGCAGATACTATCTTTTCTTAGATTTATACACAAGAACTTTATTTTTTATTGCTACTGTAAATTTTGTTTTTAGTTTCAAATGCCAATGGTTTATTGCTAAATAAGGGTTCTGTGCTTTTTTTCTTCTAACACTCAGTCATTCCAGAACCTGTAAAAGGCCTACTCTGGTGACACATCCATAAATCAAGACGCTTTTTCCTTCTGTTCCAAGAGTGTGATGGCACCTGTCTAGTTTTATCCCGCAGTGTTGTGACAGCCCACCAGTGAAAGCTTGTGGAGTCCCCTTGGAAGGAAAGCGTATTCTAAGGGGTGGCTTTTTCTTAATGGCTGGAGCTTTTCTTTATCTACAGAATACTTAGGTACGGAAGTATGTGCCAGGCACCTCGCTAAATGCTACAATAGTGTGCAGTAAACTGGCTCTTGTTCCCTAGGAGCTGCTGATGGAACTGTATCCCAAACTTTAATTGCATCACTCAAGGGCCTACTTAAAAATGCACATCCCTGGGTCTCAGCACTTCTAGGGTTGGTGCCCTATGCGTCTGCCCTCTAACAGGCACCCACCTGTTTTTTACACAAAAGGCCATTGGTCACATGAGAAAAACTGACCTGGTCCACCCTTTCACTTGACCCATCAAGAAAAAGCCCAGAACTCCAGCCAGCTTAGTTCTTCCTTCCATGCCTCTAATTTATTAAAGAAGCTAGAGAAGAAAGGGGGCTTACGTCTTTATTCTGTTCTCTAAAAGGTAAACCCGGGGAAAGGGCTGTATCACAAGAAAACAGACCTAAGTAATGTGAACCCAAAGTTCTACCTTGTATCCCTACGTCCTAAAAGTCAAGAGCAGGATGCTGGTAGCCTGTGCGCACCCTGCTACACAATGCCACGTCCTGTGTGCAGAGGTGCGGTCTCTAACACTACAGTCCACGAGCTCAGCCCACAGTCAGGTGTGGATATGCCATCTGCTTCTGAACCCTTCTCAAAAACCCTGAGAATGGAGGTAATTAAACACCCTATGTTGGGATTATCCTACTATCATTACTAGGGGTTCCTTCCCTCCCCAAATCTCACTTTTCTCAATTTGAACATTTGATCACCCTGGGGACCAAAAGATTAAAACGTTATTATTCTTACCTCAAAGAAAAGGGAGGAAGAGAGAAAGAGGGGAAAGGCAGCAGTGTCAGCTTCGATGAGACCAAGAGGTGCACTCTGCCTTACATCAATGTTGGACAATCCTGACAGGACAAAGTCAGACTAACAGGGAGCTGCTTAAAAGTTGATTTGGGCTGAGCCGAGGTACACAAAAACAAAACCGTCTGTGGACAGGCTGATCCACAGATTAAGGAATGAAGTTAAATTTTATAAAGGGAACTGTGAGGCTAAGGATTCACAGAATAAAGTCCATGGAATGCGGCATAATTTACCGACTATATCACATATTAAATATATTTAGATAAACAGATCAACGTTTTTCAAATTTACTCTACATCTTACATTCCTGTCTTCCAGAAAAGTGAGGTTTACTAACTTGCGGCAAGAGAGACAAACACCAGACAAGCACCTTCCAGACTAAGTAGTTGTTTTGAATGAAGCGGCTCTCTATGGCTCAAGGTCAAGGAGTACCCGGGTTGGCAGCCCGGTGGAGGGGGGTGGGGTGGGGTGGGGGGCTCGAGCTTGCAGTACGCGGACAAGGCTGTCTGCAGGCCGTATCTGAAGCTGTCTGCAAGGCTGATTCAATGCGCGGCTGGGTACACGGCTCGGCAGCGCCCAGGGTGATATTCACGGGCTTCAGGAAGGGCAGAGTCTGAGTCTGGATCTTAGAGATCAAGGTTTCTTGCCATTCCACCCCTAGGCTGAATCAAGAGTTCCTTCTGGTTCCCACGGTCGAGAGCCAAGCCGGGGCCGAGCCACGTCCCCCGCCCACAGCCTCCCTCAGCTCGGACTCCGGATCCTGTCCCCACCCCCACCCCCACCCATCTCCAAGCTCCACGGATTCTGGGGTTTCCACGTCGCCTGGAGGCCCCGGAGCGCCCCGGGACCCAAGGGCTCACACCGACCCCGCCCCTTCGCCCGCGGCTGCGCAGAAGGACGCTCCGCCCGCAGGCCAGGGACGCCCAGCGCCGCTCCGGCCGCCGGGCCTAGTGCGCGCGGCGACCGGAAACGCCCGACCGCCCGCGAGGCCACTGCGGCGAGCTGAAGACAGCCCCGGGTGGCTTTCCCGTGACCCCAAACTCTGGAGGTAAACCGGCCCCACCCCTCCTTCTGGGGGCGCCTCAAACCCAGCCGCCCGAGCCAGGCCAGGTGCCGCTAGCTTACCTGAGGCATGAACATGCGGGAAGGTCTGCGCATGCGCGTGCGAAAGGGTGGCGTTCCGCCTCGCCCACATGATGCTGGTTAGATGGCCATCGTGATCGCCGGCTACGGGGCTTAGTTCCTTTAGTCCTCACAACATTCCACATGCGAGGTGCTGCGAGTATCTCACTTTGCAGAGAGGCTTACGGTGTAACCGTCCCGGCCACCGGCAGCTGATGCCGAGCTCCAAGCTGAACCCAGGACTCCAGAAGCTTGTTCTCAAGCACTGTTGCACACCTTGCGGTGTGTCTGGTATACTCTGAACTGTGGAACTTTGTAGTCTCTTGTTCTCTTCTATCTACTCTTTAGAAACGGTCTGTAGCCTGAAGCCCCATTCACACACACACACACACACACACACACACACACACACACTCCTTTTACGTAAACTTCTTGCCCTGCACTGTTACAGGAAGAAACAAAGCTGGAGATCATATGATAGCATTTTGTAAAACCAACGACTTGTTCATAGCAAATACTTTTTTTTGACAG